GTAATCTCAGCACTTTGGGAGGCGGAGGTGGGTGGATCACTTGAGGTCAGGAGTTTGAGACCAGCCTGGCCAACATGGTGAAACTCTGTCTCTACTAAGTAAAAACAGAAAAATTAGCCAGGCGTGGTGGTGGGCCTCTGTAATCCCAGCTACTCAAAGGCTGAGGCAGGAGAATCACTGGAACCCAGGAGGTGGAGTTTGTAGTGAGCTGAGACCGCATCACTGCACTCCAGCCTGGGAGACACGGCAAGACTCTGTCTCAAAAAAAAAAGAAAAAAGAGCAGTTAAGTAGGTAAAATACAGTGCTTACTATATATCTTCCTGGACCATGCAATCTAAAGATACCTCCACTCACTTTTCATAGTATGTATGTATGTGTTGAGACAGGGTCTCACTCTGTTGCCCAGGCTGTAGTGCAGTGGCGTAATCATTTTTTACTTCAGCCTTGACCTCCCTGAGCTCAGGTGATCCTCCCACCTCAGCCTCCCGAGTAGAGTAGCTGGGACCACTGGCGTGCACACCACACCCAGCTATTTTTTTTTTTTTTTTGAGACAGGATCTTGCTCTGTCATCCAGGCTGGAGTGCAGTGGCACGATCTTGGCCCACTGCAGCCTCCACCTCCCGGTTTCAAGCGATTCTTGTTCCTCAGCCTCCCAAGAAGCTGGGACTGCAGGTGTGCACCACCACACCCAGCTTTGTTTGTATTTGTAATAGAGGTAGGGTTTCACCATGTTGCCTAGGCTGGTCTCAAACTCCTGACCTCAAGTGATCCACCTGTATCAACCTCCTCTAAAGTGCTGGGATTACAGGTGTGGGTCACTATGCCCAGCCTTTCTATCTGGCTGACTTGCCAATTTCAGCCTGTGGACTGGTTTCCTCTCAATCCTCTCTTCACATACCAACATCTAGAGGAAGAATAGTATTAAACATATAGTCATATTTAATTTTTTTCATAATATTTATCACCATTTCAGGCAGTACTGCATAGGGTCTAATAACAGACAGTGACGCTAAACTGTCTGGATTTGACACCAGCTCTACCACTTTACTAGCTGTTAAGTTATTTAACCTCTCAGTTTCCTTATCTTTAAAATGAGGATAAGAATAATATTGCCTACTGTGAGTCAAGATGGCCAGGGAGAGACCTATGTTAATTCTAGCTAAATAATTATAAGCTTGCTTGGTGCAGAGTACACTGAAGTTTACACACCGAACTAAACTATATTATTGGTGCAGTTAATTAGAAATCAAGCAGTAACAGGAGGCCTAAGGTAAAGACAATCCGAGAGCACAGTAACACCGGGGAACACCGAGGGGTGGTTGCAGAGCAGGCAATACTGCTCTGGTCCCACGAATGCCTTCTCAACATGGAGACTGCATGAGGGTCTCGTAAAGAGGGCTTATGCAAAGATCTCTGAGAAGGGAGGCGACCTCTGCTCACAAGATCCAGGAGGGTCTTGGCAGATGGGAGCTGGCAAGGAGAAAAGCCTCAAGGGCAGAGATCACGGAACTCCTCAGGCTCTGCCTAGGTTCTCAGAATATGCAGTGATTTTAATTGCTTTGTGTCTTCAGTGCTTGGGAGATAAAAGCCCCTGGATGCATTGGGTGTGGTCAGACTGGGTGGCTCCTCATCCGCTCTACTTCTGATGCTGCCGCACCCTGCTAACAATCGGTGATAAACTCAGACTACTAGTTTAACATGTCTTAGAAGGATCTCAAGTGCTGTTAAATGCTCAGAGCACTACTTTAGCATGTCTTAGAAGGATCTGAAGTGCTCTCCCCTGCACCTTACCTACCCTTTCCATGCCCATAAGATCAATGAGACTATGCATATAATAAAAGTGTTTGGAGCCCAGAGCTCGGGTTAACATGGTCTCCTAGACCCATGATGTAAATTCTACTCTTGTGTCTCTCTTTTTTTTTTTAATTTTTTTTTTTTTTAAGAGACGGGGTTTCACCATGTTGGCCAAGTTGGTCTTGAACTGCTAACCTCAGGTGATTCGCCCACCTCCGCCTCCCAAAGTGCTGGGATTACAAGCGTGAGCCACCTCACCCAGCCATGTCTCTGTCTTTATTTCCTTTTCTCAATCCCTCGTCACGACCGGAACTAAGGGCACCCATGTACAGGGTTGGGGCTGGTACCTAACAACCTACCATACAGGTTGTTGTGAGGATTAAATGAGTTGCTGCGAGGATTAAATACGTAAAATGCTTAAAACAGCTACTCTAGTTCCAGTTCATTCCTGAGGTCCTGCTGTATCCTGGAGACACTCATGTATCCTTAAAATAAATGTGACATGAAAATTGCCCCATAAACTGCATACCTCGACCATACCTCCGCTTTCCGTTGAAACTGTTCTCTGTAACCCTAATGTGACAGGCAAGCAGTCCAAACCAAGGCCATTTTGGCCACTGTGCCATTTTAAGAAAAACTCTGCCCCATTTTAAGAAAAACTAAGACTTGTAATAAGTGATTAAGGTCTGTAATTTTCCACCCTACCCAGGCAATGTGTAAATTACGCTTATCTTGACTTCTGTGAACCACTTAAGTAACAATCGCAATGTCCAAGGTACCCTGGCCCTCGGAATGTCCAAAGCCCCTCGCCCTCACCCGTGCCCAGGAGGTGGTTTACCGGCATAAAAGGTCTTGACACCCTCCTTTCGGGGCCACGGTTTAGAGAGATGCGAGTCCTCTGTGGCCGCCAGCAATAAAGACCCTGTAATTTGGCCTAGTCTTTGTCTCAGTGGTGATTTCTCACTTGCTCGGTTACAACATAAATTCCTTTTGGCTGGTGGAGGTGGCTCATGCCTGTAATCCCAGCACTTTGGGAGGCCGAGGTGGGAGGATTGCTCTAGCAATTCTCCAGGAGTTCAAGACCAGCCTGGGCAACATGGTGAAACCCTATCTATTAAAAAAATTAAAATGATAGATTTCTTTTTCTTGCTAAAACCAGTTTAAGCTTGTTTCTGTTGCAGGTATTCAATTTTAACTGTTGGATAATATCATTTCTATAAATATACCACCATGTACCTGTGATATTGTGCTTGCCTGGAGCCAGAACCTGAGCAACGCTATTTTTATAAAATGCAAAACTGTTTTTTTTTTTTTTTTTTTTTTT